CCAAAAAAAAAAAAAAAAAAAGATAGCAAGACTTTTGCACCTCCTCACGATGGTTGAAATCACTTACCATTCCGCAGCATAAACATTCTGTCCCCCTTCTTTTTTTATACTTCGTCGTCTGTGCCGAGTACTATATCTTTCTTCCTGTCCTGGTTTTGTGCCCCAGAGTCCAAAGTACAGACCAGGTAGAACCCCTCCTTCACTTGACAAGTGTGAGCAGCTGGCGGCGCGACTCCAGCTCGATGGAAAACGGCTCTTGGCGAAGGACAGGAGCCAAGCGAGGAGAGTATGCGATGCAGGAGACAGAAAAAAAAAGAATAAAGACGACGATCACGCTTCCCGCACGGCAAGGTGTAGGCAGAGGACGTCGTTCACAAGGAAGCAAACGCGATGATGCAAGCGGCAAGCTGTGCAAGCCAAGGTGGGATGGTGCGGTGGCATCTACTGGCGGAGTGCTGGGATTGGCACTGGGTCCAGGGTCCCAGATGTCTGGGAGTATAGTTGTTGACTGGTCGTCTGGTCCAGGCTACAGCGTGCCATGAATTGGATGCCTGCCAAAAGGGTGTGTGGTGCGTCATAGTTAACACCAGGCCATCAAGTCCACCGCATGGCCTGGTGGCATCACGTGCGTTAAGCCGAAAGTGCCTCGACTGCCTTGAAGCTCTCATTGCTCGGGTGTGCGAGGATGATTCAGCACTCACCTGGTGTCCACTTCAATCCAGACTAATAACGTCATCATGCAAGGCACGCGGTAGCCGCGCAAAAGAGCGTTAAAAAAACAGGGAACACAACACCGCGTCTGGCTGTCGAGATATCATATCCTCAGAGTGAGTGGCGTCGTTGGCAACTGGTTCTACGTGCATGCCCCATGTGACAGCTGCCACGCCTCTCACTCACACCTGAACAATCCCAGACCGACAATGCTTGGGCTGAAACCCGACTTTGCTAATCGGCCTCTCACCACAACCACATTAAAAATTGCCTTGTTTCATTAGTACTTGCACGCCAGCGCGTCATCGCACGGACAGTCACGTCAACCACAACAAACATTGCTGCTCTGCACACGTCTATACCGCAGCTACATGGCGTAAATGGGTGTCGCGGCAATAGACGAGAAAAAGACAACCACCAAGTTTCCATCCATGGACAACTCTGTGGTTTGGCACCCTAGTGAAGCCCGTACCCGCAAAGTACCTCTGAGGAAAAGCAATAACAAAACAAAAGAGGGCCAACTCTGGCTTCCGTAAATATGATGCATCGTTCCATTCGCTGGAGTGTGTACTGGCTGCATCTGCCTCTCAAGACCGTCTCGCTGGACTTGGCAATATCTATCGGCCTTGCGGTAAAGGTGGCTTGGTACACTGTGTTGCTAGCTTGAACGACATTAGTATTATCGACCAGAGTATGAAATTGTGCAGTTACTCGTTCCCTATCTGATGTACGTGCGCGCATTATCAACATATTCCAACCTATGAATGAACACATATTGTACCATTTTCTAGCCAAGTCTGTGTCGTCTACCCATTCGCCATTGCTACGTTGTAAAGATTCCCAATCAACAGCCATTTATACCCAGCATTCCCCCAGACTCTAGTAGCAAAAAGAAAAGAAAAAGGAAAAAAAAAACGTCAAAGGGTATTCTAGCTCTTCTAAAGTTCATCTGCACCCGGAAAGTTCATACTGGCCCCCATCTCGCTGTCCATACTATCCCAAAAGTCTTCCCTTGGGGTCCTGGGACTTGTGTCCTGCGAGGCGGTGGCCTTGTTGCCTCTTCTGCTCCTGGTAATGCCGGCAAAGTCATCTGCCATGAGACGAGCGACATTCATCCCCATGAGGGCGCTAGTCTCCATGGTTGAGATGAAGCTCTCCACTCCAGAGGTATAGTAAAGGCCCCGACCGATGATGGAATCCTGGAATGTAACGCGCGGGGATTCGATCGGGTACGAGTAAAACCAGTGCGGGTAGTACCATGAGATGGGCTCTACTTCGCCCGTAGTTTCGTTGGAGAGAAAGGAAGAGGGGACTGGTGTGCCGAGGATATCAGACAGGAAAGTTGAATTGACCGGCTCGGCTGAGAAAATCTTGTAGAGGAACTCCTTCCTATGTGTCTTGGGATTTGTGACCGTGCGTAGGGTGCTGATGGAATAAAAGCCGGTGCGGCCGACTCCCTCGGGGCCTTCGTGAGCTTCCTCGTCTTTGCCAAGAGTGTGTATACATTGCTCGGAGCCTTTGTCCCTGCTTCAAGACCAAAGAAGCTCGGCTGCAATAGGAAGGGAGAGGTGAATAGAGTGACGTGGAGCTTCATATAAGGGATCGTATCAATGCGATGTTTGATTACTCCCTTGGCAGCTTCGATATCGCTGAACTGCCAGGGTGATGCAATTATAACATTGTCAAAGGCGGTGGGCAGCTTGGCGGCTTTTGACTTCGAACCAGACAATTTCGTCGAAATCAGATACTTGGGAGCAGACCCGGGTTTGTCGGTACCCTTTTGAAATGCAAGGGTGGCAACAGAAGTGTTGGGATAGTAGGCTGCACCACTGTGCTGAAGCAGCCTCTCAAAGATTTGCCAATTACCTCCAGCAACGGCGACAGCACCCTCTGTAGAAAACGACACCTAAAATAAGATTAACAACCTGGCCGACTGTCAAAAATGCATTGTAGCAAAAAGGCTCACCATTGCCTCCAAACCGTGGATGTAGGCCATGTTGGAGGCATAGTTGACTCGTGTAGCCGACTGCATGAGGTCTCGAACAAAGTCTGGGTTGATCTTGAAGCAGAATTTAGCACAGAATTTCCAAAGTGCTATACATGGCATATCTGCTGCAAACTCACATTGTGGTCTCTCAGATACTGCTCGCCCGTCACACCTGTCAACCGCAACAACCCCAGCTCAAAGGCCCTCTGCGTCAACGACCGAAACGGGAAATACGGCGCCTCATAAAGCCGAAGAAAAGTTCCCACGGCGCCCTTGACCAGTTGCACAGCTCTGTAGGGCGCCAGGCCATACTTCAGAAACAGCTTCGTAGCATCCCACCACTTGGAAGCACCTGCTTCTGACCGAAACAAGATGGTCTTGCCATCCCAAATAGCTGTGTAGTCAGTAGGTTGACGTTCCGTCAACCCCGTCAGTGACAAGTTGAAGTCGCGAGTAGCATTGTACATAATATGGTTGTCTTCGATGAAAATGGATGCTCCAAGTTCCACGCGCTGCTCGGGGTCGTTGAAGGCATTCACGGTGATGGTACGACCGCCAACATGGTCAGCCTTTTCGAAAACCGTGATATTGACAGCCAGACCTTCTTCCTCTGCATACTTTTGCAAGTAGTACGCAGCTGAAGTGCCGGCAGCACCGGCACCTATACAAATTGCTGTGTCAGTACGCGGCCGTCGTCTAAGATGTTGCTCCCAATCTCAGCTGTCCGATGACTCCGGTCCACTCCCAGATTTCGCTCATCTTTGAAACCCATCCAAGAAAGGTATCTACGTACCAATAATAGCGACATTCTTAACCTCCTTCACACGACGGGGGCTGTTCGCCCCATCCCGTGCCGCAGTAGCCGCCGCCGTGGCGAGAGCCACCAGCTTCAGTAGTGGTAGATGCATCGTGGACACTTGCTGACCAGCTTGACTCGCAATGCTTCGTGCAAATCAACCAATGACATGTATGCGGATGCAAGGACTCCCCGGAAGAGGAAAAAGGTGCGTGAGGGGTCAGAAAAGGAGCAATCAAAGAATCGGAAAGTAAAAAGTAAAAATAAAAGGATATGTCGTATCTCTTGTTCTCGCGCAATAATGCCAAATGCTTGCTACGGGCGCCCCATGTTTTGGACTGTTGGTTGTTGAATGTCAGCACCGGAGTCTAAGGCCCAGGCTTGCGACGAAAAAAGTGGACAAAGAGACGTGGGGTTGATGCAGATGCCGGCCCCACATTGCGCAGATGCCTAGTCAGCTCTTGCCGCGCAAGGGGGTGTAACCGAAAACACCACACTGAACCGCACCACTCAGTTGGTAGCGTGTTGGGTCTGGTGTTTTCTGGCTGGTCGACCCAGCTGGCCCAGGCCCTGGCATTCACGACCAACGTCGATTTGTTTGCCGCCAATCATGCCTACCTATCTAGGTACCTCATAGGTCTAGTCCTTGGCAAATAACTCGCATCAAGTTACCAGCTACTCCACAGGGCAGTAGCTCTGGCCGTGGAACAAGCATGACCATTCCCTTGGTCCTGGGCCAAGGACTTGACATTCGCAGACTTCATCCTCCCCAACATCACCATGATTCCAATCATTTGGGTCACTCTAGAATGAAATTGACAAGTCCATTTCAACGGGCTACACTAGCATTCATCGTGTTTTATCCTAGCGGAGCCTGTTTTCCATTGCAACAAACAACGCTTCCACAATCTTGTCCATGACCTCTGCCAGACATAAAGACATGGACCAGCTGTCCAAGGGGAATCTTGAACATAACCAAAAAAAAACAAAAATGTCCCAAGCTGTACACAAAAATGCCTCTAACACCTCGCCGTATTCAAATTGGGCATTGTCGCAATAAACTTTTGCGCCACAATATTCAACGCAAACAAAGTCCAGTAACAATCTCCAGAATCTCTGGTGGTCAAATATGTCTATCGCCCGCTGTCAAGAATGTGTAAAAAGGAGATATACAACATCCGTGCTTTTAAACCATGATAAAAGTAAAAGAAGAAGACAAAATGGCTCAAGCAAAAATGGGTCAAAGGCCTCGTAATTCCAATACGGACAGAAATGTTGACAAGTCGTAAGTTTCGTGTTGCTAGTATGCAATCACGCCGTCATGATTGCGCGTTGATGTCAACTCTCTTCATCGCTGCTGCTGTGGCCGCTTTCCACTCCTCCTGCGGTTGCGGCTGAACTGCCGCTGGTTCGAAACACTGCATCGGCACTGGCACTTTTGCTTCTGCGTCGAATGCTTCCAGGTGCAGCCTCAGCGCTGCCAATAGACGGGCGCTTTGCACTGACAATGGGACGCTTGAAATTGGACACATCATCCATGTCGATTCGCTCATACATCCCATTAGCGGCATCATCCTCGTCAGGGTCTTCGCCATCTTCGTCGCCACTGCTCAAGTCCACACCATCTGGGTAGCCATCTGACTGATGCGGATTGACAGCTCGGCTCATCAGCTCTTCAGACGACTCTAGGGCGTCGTCATCATCCTCAGAGCCGAAATCATCCTCCCCCGAGCTTGACGTGTCCGTACTGAACGGCGGAAGAAAAATGACTGGTGGAGGCAGCGGCACTGGAGCCAGACGCTTGATCCTACCCGACATGTAGTCGATTTCAATAGGAAAAAAGTTTTGCTGACTTGTGGCAAGCGGAGCAGGTGATGAAGTTGACATGCTTGCTAATCGACTGATGATAAACTCAGTGGCTTCCTCCGACTTTCTCGGTATAGTAGACTGGTATTCTGACGCCGTGGCATCTGTCATGGGTCGCTTCGTTGTCACAACCACCATGAAGTGGTCGTCTGGCATGACGCCTCCCAGACCGCAAGGCTCCAGTGGATGCACTTCAATATACTGTTGCGCAGAGGACCATGGAAACTCAGAGTCAGGGATGCTTGATTCGGAGTCTGAGTCACCTGTGAGATCCGGAACACTGTCACTGCTGTCAATGTCCATCTTGAAGCTGGTGTCAATACCATGGTTCCTTTCGCCAAGTGGACGATAGCCCAGGGAAGAACCAGATGTAGATCGGTACGGCATCGGGCGGGAAGATTGTCCTTGAGAGTTTTGGCGGTCTTGGCCGCTGGACAGCATGTAGGTTGCAGGAGATGTATCACCAGGGTCACCAGAGAGGTCAGTGCAAAACGGCGCGCCGCTATAATAAATAATGGCACCGTCATGGCGACGCTTCCGACGATTCGACGTGCCAGAGCCGCTCAAGTTCCATCGTGAATCGTCCCCATTGCTATCGTCAATGGGTCCAAAGGATGACAGGGTTTCGTCCAGCGATGTCTCTCCGTTGGGGGAGCTATTGTGAACAAACAGCGGCTTGTAGTGAAAGCTGTTCGATGAAGCAGACACCTGTGGGCCAAACTTGGAACGACTTTTTGAACTTCCGCCAGACTGAACATCATCCGCGGTGAAATTGCCAGTCTTTTGCCGCTTGCGTTGTCCCGAGTCGGAATCTTCTGTGTCTGCGCTCTGCTGAGAACTCTCATTCGAACTGTCACTGGAGAACCTGGTGCCATCCCGACCACCTCGCCAACGTATCTTGCGGCCGTCGGGTGAAAGCTGGAACTTGGTACTAATTTCGTTCACGGCAGATCGTACGAAGCTTGGCGTAACATTGATGATGTGTAGCTGCGCCAGGTTACACAGCAGGTTCAAGTACACCCAACCCTCAGCATCCGGCTGCACGTCCAGGTTATTCTTGTTCGACTCTGGTATAATCTCTGGAGGAACCAAGCCCAAGTGTCGAATATACTCCATGTTTTCAGAGGGAACTTGAGTCCGATCCGGATCCAGATCCTTTACACGTGTGGGTCGCTGGTCGGGGGCGGGCGGTTGAGATGGCGAGGTGTTGGTTCCTGAGCCACTGCTGTTCCCGTTGCCCCCGGACTCTGTCTGATCACCGTTAGAATTACACGCCGAGCCATTATCTCGCGATCGACTTTTCTTGCAAGAGTGACCAGACTGTTGTTCTGGCGGAAGAATCTTGGCTTCCCGGGACGGCTCTGAATTTCCAGCGGCGGCGGCGCCAGCGGCAGCATTGGTAGCAGGAGTGGGCTGCTGTTTGGCAAGAGGAGGCTGAGCTCGAGAGTCAATATCGGCTGATGCCCGATCTGCCTCGACTCCGTCGGTTTGGCGATGTCTAGCTCGACGCGCATGCCGGCCGCCGATTTTACCTGTAAACAATTGTTCCAGGCGCCTTACTACTAACTTCTTTCTGTCCCTGTCGGTCAATATCATGTGGCGTGGGTATAAACCCTCAGGGATGTCGCGCAGGTAGTTTTCTACCTTTTGGTCAGACCGGACACGCGAGCCCACGCTTGGACGGCCGAGAGACGCTCCAGATGAATTAGCAGCGCTTGACATGGACGCGTACGCAGAGTCTACAGGTCTGGCATTGGAGCCAGACGAAGAGGAGGCGTGCTTAGAAGCGGATCCCGAAGCCGAGTACATGTGGTCGCGCGTGGCGTGTCGCAATGATTTCTTTCGCTGAGACGACGGGGCATCTGGAGAGTCTTCAATGCTAGCCGCGAAGTCACGCAGCGTCGATTCTAACTCTCGTCTCCTACGCCTTGGAAGGCCATGGTACTTGATTTCGAAAAGCTTGTCCTTTCGCAGCGTTTCCGGACCCTTTTGCTTGTACCTCTTCAATTCCTCCTTCAGCTTCTGGATTTCGACGGTTAGATCGTCAATCACGCTGCGATAATCATCCGCGCTGCTACTCTGGCCGGTGGCGAGCCGCGGAGGAGGCGGGCGTTGGAACTGGTATGGCTTGTCTTCATTTGACAAATCCGACTCTTTCTGGAAGAAGGGGGGGTCAACTGCGACGAAGATGTGTTAGCCATATCAAGGCAGCCTGCAAACACTTTGTGCATAGTGACACAAACCATCCATGGCATTATTGTCAAACGTTGCTGTCGGGTTTTGGTTTGACAAATCAAACCATTTTTTCGGGTCGCTCTGGCCCGTTTCGTGACTCTCCCCGGAGGAATTACGGCGCGGCGAACTTGTGACATTGCTTGGATTCGCCGCCGCCGGCGACGAACCGGGGCTTGCTCTGAGAGAAGCATCGCGGGCGAGTTGGTGGTGCTTCAAGGTTACCGAGTTTCCTGGCGAGGCCCGTCGTGGTAATGGGTGGCCCGTAGGGCCTGTCGGCGGGGGAGGTTCTGTGCCTTGTGCGTTTCGATTCTGCAATGGCATCGTCGATGCATGAGAAGACTTTAATGATAAATCGGGACGCGTTCGTCGCTGGACCAGCTGCGCATTTCTCCTCGAGATCCGAGTTTATCTAGCTCTCGTCTACTGGGCTGCTGCCCTCGAGAAGGCGCGCAGAGGCGTCGTCAAGACCCAGCGTCGACAGATGTGACGTATGAGTGTTGATCACTACTCTGTGAAGTATTGTTTCTGCTTATCTGCATATATGGCTTTGTTAGCATGTTGGCTGGCAAGTTGAGTGCGTACATAATACAGCGCAGTCGCAGGGGGGGATGGGCGGAATGAGGGGCTGGACTGGCTATTGGTGGGCAACGCCATTGGCGTTCTAGCCCTGAGGGCTGCTGAAAGCGGAGGCTACATATGCGACAGAACTGATCAGAATGATCGATCGATCGTCTGTCGCAACAGCGCCGCTCCAATTATGCCGTGTTGAGCAGCATCTGTCGATGGCTTACCTATGCGATGCGACCCAATACCACTCTGCTCTACAGTCGTTAACGACTGCTGGCGATGTGGGATAGATTCCCTGGCGGTTTGAGCTGTCGTTCTGGCTTGAGAGATGGGAGGTCAAACAGCCTGTGTGGTCCAATGCATTAGCATGTCAACTACTCATCATTATTGCGTATCGCCCGTTGGGGATCCGAGGGAGTGAATGAGCCTTTCGGTGCACCAAGTTGCGAAGACGGCGTGAGCTGCAATGACGGGACTATAGGCCTTACCTTGAGGTCACACAACCGATTGATATATTTAGGGGTGCTTGTATGGCAGTGGACTAAAAAAGTAATTGCCACGAAAACTCGGGACGTGATGAGCAGCGTTTCGATACTTGATGGATGTCGACGAAGTTGGAATGAAGGTGGTATAACCGAGACTCGTAAATGAGGTTGTAATAAATTTAGTCGGCGTAATAACCAGCAGAATGAACTGGTTGGACGACGGAGGAAGTGAGTTGCTGGTTTGTGGAAATAATGGATTGACCAAGCAGTCGTAAGGCAACTCGGGCAGGATTTCACAAGAGGGCGAACGGATATGATGGAGAATTCAAGCAGTATGAGCAGTATATGTTGAGGAAGTTTAATGGAGCAAGTTGGGCATGAGGTTATGATGCCGTTCCTGATGATTCAGAGCTGCAGTAAATAATGCAGCGTGCGGTGGAGAAGAGGCCGAGAGAGAGCAAGGGCAGGTGGCGACGGATGATCAGATCAGCAAGGAACAGGAAGAGAGAAGAGAGGCCATTGTCATTGCCATGACGGGCGAGGAAGCAAGGCCGAGCCACTGCCACCAAGGCCTGCCTTGGAAAGGGTCTGGTGCGATGTGTGCGGCGATGTGAGAGCGCCATGTGTGCAATGGGGGTGCAAGGAAACCCGGCGGGCCGTGAAGCTTAGATTCGACGCTCATTGCACCGATGTCCACGACCTACGGGTTGTTTGCCGGATCAAAAGAGATCGAGACCCATGGCATGGAGCAAATCCAGGGTCCAGCCTCTGCTCCTGGTTGGATGGATGGACCCGGTGGTGTGGCGCTATAGAAACTGCTGCTTATAATTGCACTTTGTCGGGCCTCGCTGCTTCGAACAGTCGTAATGCTGTACGGCCGACGATGATGGAGCAGATGTAGCTAGCTGGTCGTGGATGGCAGGAAGATGTAACTAGACGACTCATGATGGTCAAGAGCCGACAAAGAATTGTTTTGGGGAATATGCCGCCATCCAACAGGGCCACAATTGTAAAGTACGGGCACCAGGGCACCTTTTGCCCGCCCGGCAGTCGTTGACTTCCAGTACCTCATCTACTCCATACTACTCGGTTCATGCACTCGACACTAGCATCTTCTCAGCTATTCCATCCAGTAACTCGATGACACTCAAGTACCGGCGTGATATCCAACAGCAGACAGTGTGCCCGACAGATCAATTGATGCTTGGATGCCCGGACGCTCAAACAACCAACAGCCACTCGATAAGCCGACAGCCCATCACGAAACCACCCGCCAGGGCTGCTGGCTCATGGGCGCCGTCATCTCACTTTTACGCCGTCATCGCTGCCGTCGCTGCCATCGGTCTCACTCCAGTCAGCCGTCACGTCGGCCCACTGCAATGACGCGCCCACAGGGCACAGTCACTCGCGGTCTGGAGCTGTCAATCTGTCCGTCACCTGGCACGCCCTCAACACCAACCACGCAGCCTGCAGACAGTAAAAAATAAATGTTCTCGACCACGCCGCTACGCCACGGCAACTCGGCGCACCGGGCACTTGGGGCACTTGGACCAGTCTCATTCAGCCCATTACTGGCCAGTCTCATCGTGAAAATAAAAAAGTCGTACCATTCTCTCCATCGACCTTGCAATAGCGACGAGCAGTGTTGTTCAACATGCTGCTGCTGGGTTAGAATAGCACAATGAGGCCAACTTTTCTTTGCGGGCCGGAGCTCAGTCCGCATCCTGATCGCCAGCCAAGTGCCTCATATCGGGCGGCCTGATTGGATGGAACCGCCACAACCAGTGACGTAAACTTTCCAGCGCAGGTGGGTGTTTCTTCTTCGACGGGCTTCCACCCGTGAGATCACGAGCCCTTGCTACTCGTCAACTCGTTTATATGCATACGCCGGATATCCGATTTTCCCTGAAAGACAACGGCGCCGTAGGATGAAGTCTTAAAACTTTTCCGACCCACACGCCGAGCTGTCAAAACTTCAGTCATGACAGTCCGAATACCCTAGACTGTCATGGTACTCGGATGCAATTAAAACCCTCGAAGTAGCTACCCCGGGAAGCAAATCTCAGGGGAAAGTATGGGTTAAGAGAAAGTTTTCAACGCACCTTCTGACTTGAAAGTCCGATGCTTGCCACAGGAAAAGCACACACCTGTTGCCCATCCCCACGCATACGCTTGGCAATCCCACAGGGCTAGGGCCATATGCCTAATGAAGCCTACCTGCCACTGTAATTGAGTACTGACTGGTAACTGCCACTTCCTTTGGTTTGGCCAGGCCCGGTGGATCAAACTCATCTGCCTGGGCTACTCGAGTTGGTATTCGCAGCGCGCAGCCGGTCACCATATCAAGGCCATCACTCAACTGATGATTAAAGGAACAAATGCCATCGTTCTTACGCCATCTCTGTAATTCTATATATCTCCTCTGGTGTAGTCCCTGCTACGCTCATTCACTTCGCCATGTCTATCATTCGTTGCTCATTCATACCCGATCCGGCTCCCATGCCCATCATCTAGTCTACACGCTTCATTTCTCATGCTAATCCCCAAGTCATGACCCCCACAACTCCGTTACCCAAACAACAACTTTTACACCAGCTAACCCTGCCTACTGGGTAGCCCTCTTAAGGTTCTTGTCAAGCAGTGACTCGCCAGTCATCTCGTCAGGCTGAGGAAGACCCATGGCCGCAAGAATTGTTGGGGCAACGTCTCCCAGGACGCCGCCCTGCTTCTTCAAGCTCCAGCCCTCAGGAGCATTGGCCATGATGAATGGCACCTTGTTGGTGGTGTGGCTGGTCTTGGGCTTGCCATCAGCAAACTTCATCTCCTCGGCATTGCCGTGATCAGCAGTAATGAAAAGGATGTAGCCCTCCTTCTTGCAGCCCTCAAGAATCTTGCCGATAGCCTTGTCAGTGGCCTCGCAGCCAGTAATGGCAGCCTCGTAGACACCAGTGTGGCCAACCATGTCCGGGGGAGCAAAGTTGTTCATGACAAAGGGGAACTTCTGTTCGCCCAAGCGCTTGACAACCTGATCGGCAACGCCATCTGCAGACATTTCCGGGGCCAGATCGTAGGTAGCTACCGACTTGTTGGAAGGCACAAGGTCCTGGTCCTGGTCCCGGGTTTCCAGAGGGAACACCTTCTCAACACCACCGTTGAAGAAGAAAGTAACGTGGGCGTACTTCTCAGTTTCAGCGACGTGAACCTGCTCCACATTTTGCTTGGCCAACCACTCGGCAAGGACATTGTCCATGCGCTGGGGTTCAAATGCAACTTCGAAGGGGTAATCGGTCTTGTAGGTAGTCATGGTGACGAGTTTGTTGATCTTGGGGTACTTGAAATCCTCAAGAACAGATCGATCGACATCACCGAGTAGCTGGGTGATTTGCCGAACACGGTCAGAGCGGTAGTTGAAGAAGAAGACAGTGTCATCATCTATGGCGCCAAAGTCAGCACTCTAAGATCTGGCAAGCGCTTAGGCATGAGCATTTTTCTCCTACCCTTGATTCTAGCCTCGTCGCCCCCAACAATGATGGGAGTCAGGAACTCGTCCCTGTCCTTTTCTCCGCCGCGCTCATATCGAGCCTTGACGGTGGCAACAGGGTCCTCGCTGGCCTCGCCCTCGCCGTGGCACATACCCTTCAAGGCAATCTCGACACGCTCCCATCGCTTATCCCGATCCATGGCGAAGTATCGACCGACTACGGTAGCAATCTGGCCAATGCCAACCTCCTTGAGGTAGTCAACGAGCTCCTGCATGTAGCCAGCGCCTGACTTGGGGTCGGTATCACGGCCGTCACCAAAGAAGTGAATAAAGACTTTGGGGACCTGGTACTTCTTGGCGGCTCTCAGGAGGGCATACAAGTGTTCCTGCTTGGAGTGCTAAAACCGCCTCTGTTAGCCCTGTACCGGCAGAACGACACGGCACCCTGACTTACCACACCGCCATGGGAAACGAGACCGCACAGATGAAGACGACCATTACCGGCAGCGGCGCCCTGGAATGTCTTCTTGATGACTTCATTGTCGTCCAACTCGCCTTTCTTGATGGTCTGATCAATACGAACGACGTCCTGCCAAACGACACGACCGGCTCCAATATTCAAGTGACCGACTTCGGAGTTGCCCATGAGACCCTCAGGCAGACCAACTGCCAGGGAAGAGGCGTCCAGCTCGGTGAAACCCCCGGCATTGTTCGAAAGTTCGTCCATGACAGGTGTCTTGGCCGCCGCAATGGCGTCGCCATCCTTGGGAGATTCTTCGGAGGGAATGCCCCATCCATCAATGACGACTAACAAAGGAGCGCACAAGCAAAAGAATTAGCCACCCAAGCTCCAGATACACGAGCATATAGCAAATGAAGAGTATATAGTCAAGACTTTTCGAAGCCTTGCCATTGCGAGACTCGGACAGGCTCGATGGCTCGCGGCCAGGTGCCGAGAGAGTAGGAGCGCTTGGGGAAGAGGCGTCACGGCGGGGCAGTGGTTTGAAGAGGTCGGGACGGGACGACGTACTGAGGCAAGCCTTCTGCTCGGTCTTGGACATGGTGAACACAGGTGTTTTCTATGGCAAGATGGCAAGACGGAAGAAAAAAAAAGGGTGGCTTTTTGGAAGGGGAACAAAAGGCTCAATTGGTTTGGAGATGCAGGAGGAAGATGAGTGAATTTGAAGGAAGAGGCTTCCTTGTATCCGTCTCAGCAAAATGGTCTGGTGGGGGTGTTGCTTTACCTACAACACCTATGTCATAGGTTGCTTAGGGGGCGATGGAAGAATTTTGGGGCTCAAGTGCACTGTAGACGTGCGCTTGAAAAGTACGCAGCTATACAGTGTGTAAATTTACATGGCACTGGCTTCACTCCTCACATCTGAAGGACCGATTGTCCGATAAGCTCCGCTGACCAGCTAGGTACACCAAGCCATGACGAGTGCCACAGCCAAGCCATCGTTCACAACTTGCGTGCCCAAGCTGCGGTGTTGATTCGCTTCTCGACCGCTCCCGACTTTGCTTTTCGCATCAATTGATCTTTCCACCGCAGAGTAGGCCTTCACCGACAATGGCAGCAGAACGACACCCGCTCGCTCTGCCACCCAACCTATCCCCGGACGACCTCGATGCGCTCTCGGAGCTCTCCATAGTCCTAGCCAAGGTCCGGGCCGGCATCCAGTCCTCGAATGGGCTCACGACTGCCACCGGTGTGACGCCCGGCGGTGTCCATACCCACGGGCAGCAGTTGTCATTCAAGGATGTTCCTGGCGCGACTGATGGCTTGAAGCACAAGGTCCAACATGCGCGAGCCCAGGTTCGTGCCTTGCCGGACATGGACCGCTCCATCGAAGAACAAAGCCGCGAGATAAAGGATCTACAAGCTCGGATTGAGAAGCAGCGCGCACTGCTGGAAACTCTGCGTGAGGGAGGTGTCGCGTTCGGCAAGAGGAATCGTGTTGCTAGCCATGATAAAATGGAGATTTGATTCTTGGGAATTGGCTACGAAGTCTGCTGAAGACGGGGCATTGGTAACGGCACGAGGCGAATGTGTCTTACGGCAAAGCGAATGGCGTTTACGGTCGTGGGTATATAATATGGATTGATTCGGTACGCAATTATTCTGTCCGACGAAAACGACTCGCTTTCAGCGTTTACTGGCGAGGTATACCAACCTTTTTCAGCGTTTCTTCAACACTTACACCTGGCTGTCCAGGCACGACATTGGTCCATAAGTCCTCATCCAAAGCTTCGGCGTCTGAAAGTGTAGTCCAGTTCGGGCTCTGGCCGGCCTTGAGCCATTTGAAGTCATCAACTTGGTCCCACTGGTTCTCCTTTGACGACTCGCCCTCTATTGACTGGAAAGAGGTCAGTATCTGAGGTGTAGAAGGGAGGTTTCTGTACGACACACTCACATAGCACTTGGGTAGTTGCGCAAACCGCATACCCGTGCAGTCTTCAATTATGGGATGACTAGTACAGTGCAGGTAGATGTCTACATTCTTGCACTCATGAATACGAACCTGCCGTGCTGTAACCGCGATGATGCTGTCCGTTACACCTGTCATGTGCACTGGCCCGTCGATGTGGCCAGCAACAATTAGGCTGTTTGAGATGTTCCTCAAAACCAATCCTGGAAATGGCTTCCCCTGCGCTGTAGGAACGGACATGTCCACAATGCACCACTTCAAATCTGTCAAACTCCCTGACGCAGTAGCCCTTGCCGCAGAAGATGGGAGAATGATGTGCAGATGGGACTGGTTAGCAATGCCAATGTTCCTCGCCATAGAGAAGCTTGGCTTCCTAACAAACTGCGTACTAGGCTGAGAGAGCTCGGCGTTATAGTCACGTATCGCGGCAGCAGAAGGGAGGTCACCAACTGTGTCGTCGCTCTCCCTGGCCTCCTGGTGTTTTTCGCCAGAGTGACTTTGCGTGTTTCGAGATAGACTGCCTGGGTGCAAGCGGGGGTCATTTTCCGGCGCGCCCATATCGACGTGAGCTTCAATGCTGGGGCGTTTAAACTGGAAACGAGATCTTGGTGTGACCCTGGCCACGGTTTCATTGAGCTTATCGGAGAGGCTCTTGATGGTCTGTTGCCAAGTATCAGCTGGAATACCGAATGAGCAAACAAGGGAATCAATATATAGCCACTCACATCTGAGTATTGCTTCCGATCATACGAGGGAGTGAACTCTGACGCGTCAGAAACCTCGTGCTGGAGCTTGCTTATGCCAGCAAGAACATGGTCGATGGCTTCCTGCCGTTCGCCTGCGACGGCGGACACGGCCTCCAGCTCATCTATTTGCTCCTGAAGCTCTGCAATACATGTCATCAGCTTCGCGTGGCGTAAGGTAGCATGTGAGCCGCCTTGCAGCTGGTCGGGGCCTACCTGCTATGCTGTCCTGGAAATGACGATAGAACTTCTGTTTGGGGTCCATGATCGAATACGAAGACTGCCGGACCAACGACAAAATAAAACTCAAAGCTGTCTCGCAATACGCGATCAGAGGGGGGTTTAAATCTGTCAGTCGCTTTTATTGTATTTGCCTAGAACACCATCCCGAGGCGGTAACGACGGGCTCCTTATGCCGATCCAAGATAGAAAGCCCAACCTTCCTGAGTGTGGCCGGACAGCATCAGTGGGATGTGGTCTTTCAGCTGGTCAGGTTATGTTTGCTCGTTCGATGTTTCAATTAAAGAACTCCACAATCGGCGCCCGGCACCGACATGCCCGCCAATTTCGAATAAAAAGAGGGGGCCCCAAATACCAGGTTTTGGCTTGGCGGGCAGGTGGACTGGAACATTGAAGAGACGACTTCCAAATTGGGGCTTGACCTATTAGCGTGCTATTCGATACACGCATGATCTCAGACGCAAGAGTGTTTCAAACGAGGCAATAGCTGCCCAATATTTTGCAATTTGACAACCTAATGAGATTCCTCAGATACATGGTATGAGTACTCCGTATAGCAACAGCGATATGCACCACCAACGTCATAACCCATTCGGACTCTGATGCCTCGGGTCTAAATTCCCCCGTATGCAGCGGTGTAAGTCCCTAGTGCTTCAATCCAAACGCTGCCCATCCCTCATATTACCAAAACGCCAAGTATTAATATCATGTAACCATGTCGTAATGATTCTGAAAATTCTTGTCCAAATTGCTTCGCTGGCCTCTATGGACGGAGTGCCTTCAAGCTTTTCATGTCGCTCGTTTCCCCGGGAGCGAGGGTATATCCTCCGCGTTGTGATGTCGTGCAATATTGCCGTCCGCTTCGTGCGGTCGTCTCCAAAAAATGTAGTAGTTGGTGCGGAAAGCGCTTTCTATTCTTGCAAATGTTTTGAAGAGTCGTACGGACACGGCCAGTTCAAGCTCATGCCCATAGTTTACGCCCACGTGGTGGCTGAGAGGGTTGCTCAGAATCTCCAACACGAGGCACCGCCCTCTTTCTCTTTACAGTCCTCTTCCCAGTCTTGCTCCTCGCACCGACAAGAGGGCTCAGAGACTCTTGAGCTCTCCACTTGACAAACATGGTTGAAACCTCTTCTGATACACGAGGTTTCTGCCACACGGGCATGTCACCAAGCCCGCACTGCTTGCCGTCTGGTGTGGTGACAATGATCTTGGGTATTTGAGCATGATTTCCTCCAATATTCTCATCTTTATTTGGCTTTGCAGGTCCTGTCTTGCCTTGGGCTCTTGATAGGGGGAGTGGATGTCGTGTCAGAAGCATACTGCAGCTCACCCAGGTCGACGATGCCCTCACCCGGGCGACCAGGCTTGGTGTGACCTCTTTGTTGGTTCGTAACTGCTGTTCCATTGATAGGCGCGGATTGCAGTGCACAGCGTTGTGCCATTGGGCCAGTTTTTCTTTGCTGAGTTTTGTTCTAGCCATATTGGACGGCTGAAAGGGAGAGAAATTGTGAGCTGTGAGCTGTGAGCCGGGGCTGTAGGTGAAAGTGGTGAAGAAAGCAGAAAACAGAAATTCGAAATAACGATGTCAAGATTTCAATGAAGCAAATACGTAGATAAAAGCGATGTTGATATATGAAATGAGCATTGCTATGAGTTATGTATACTATTAAAAGGCTTCGTGGATGTGAACTGAAAGTGAGCTAACAGATAGCCACGCTCGAATAGCTTTGCACGTGCATACTCTAAACACTGAGCTACTAGACCGTCGTGACGAAATAAATAGCCCTTGAGCTTGCGGGTGAAAGTTCCGAGTTAAATCTTATTATTTCAACACAGCTACTTCTTAGTAGTGTGCCCTGGCACGCCCGTTCCCCGCCATCCTTTTGGCGCCATTTGGTAGTGGCGGTATTATGGGTAATTGGAACGTTTTTTTCTGCGGAATTTCGGTGTTTACAGCACGCCACATGTCCCATATCGTTGCTCGTCTTGCCGGTAGCATGCTGTACTGCAAACTATACAGATTTTTGCGATTGATAGGTGGGACAAATTGCCCTGTGAGGAGACACAGCAGGACGCGCGGTGAGAGATAGTGTTTTCGAATGCGGTGGGCCATCTGAGCGTATTGGTGGAACATGGCGCTGAAACTCAGAGGTATTGACTGTGATTTCAATTCAATCGTTGGCAAGACATACGCGCGGGTTGATAGTTGGCCATCTGGCGCCGGCTCACCTTGAGGTAAATGATCGACGTGGGGGTTTCATTAATAGTATTAGTGTCTGTAACTCTATAATCCTGGGTATCTCGAAGCTCGAAACGAATGCCGCCTGTGATTGTCAGCCACCGAACTCTGAGAGTTGCAAAGTCTGCGGCAGAATACACACCGGGTAACCTTTTAACGTCCTTTACACGCAGCATCAAAGCGAATAACGGAAAGTGGTTCAGACACGAAAGCAGAGTATCAAACCCCGCCTTCATGGATATTATGATCATTCGTGCAATAGCAAAGTTTAAGTAGAATACAACCACGGTGGGCAAAAGAAAGAAGAGAAGCGTGAACAAAATCGTGCCAACAAGCAGCTGGTCAAGGTCATAGTCGCATGAGTCAATACGGTTACGAAGCACATTTTGCTTCTTGCCTCGAAATAGGTGGAAAAGTGATTGGAGAATCGTCAGCTGCCAGTGGTAGATGCGGGCTGATGCAAGGTAGAATGAGTAGATGTGAACTGTCAGGATGGATAGCAGATCCGAAAACAGCGCAGTTGGCATGCTGGCGCCTGCAAAGGATGTGAATCCGATGAACCATACAATATTTGGCAATGCTGGGTTCAAGGTTTCTATGCAGCCTGAACATGTGGTTAGTTATCTGTAGTTTTTTGTTTTCTCTCCAAATTTCAAATTTCTTAGACCAAAGGATACTGCAACGTGGAGACATACTTGACCAGTAGTCAATAACCCACAGAAACAAGTCACCCAAAAACACTGCCAGCTCGCCATTGAGTTTCAGACCAGCTGGGTAGTCCATCAACCACGAGATGCTGCTTTGAAGAGCCTCCACGGTGTAAGTCCTCAACAGGTCTCCAATTTGCGCGGCAACCCAGTCGGCATGCTCAATCACGTAGGAGCCAAGAGCTATGCCAATGATTACATCGTTGGCAACGAGCCAAAGGCTGTTGTAAAATCGGATATAATCGGGATGGCTGGTGGTGATACTTGCCCAATTCATCTTTCTCTGCCGCAGTTTCGAGTACTGCATGGGCCAATAACAGAATTGTTGGAGCCGAATTTCTATCTGCTGTGCGGTGGCTGATATATCCTTCAAGGCGGCGTATCCTGGTTTGACCCGAAACTCTAGAATGAGAAGTAGCACCTCAGCCACCATGCGATGGCCAAGAAGAATCAGGATGAAAGTTTTGCGTATTGTGGGGAACAAGTACACGGCAAAAAAGGTCCAAAGCTGTTTGAGAACATAGTTCCTCATAGTCGACGCAGATTCCATGACTTGCTCCGATACGCTTAGACTTCGCTTCGGCCGTGGTCCAAGCCGCCAGGCGTTCTTTTGCAATGTCTGTTCCAACTCCCACGACCAATTTACTTGGTTGATGATTTTCCGTAGCGCTCTGTCACGGGCCGAAGGGACCCGATTGGAAATAGTGTGTTGCTTCAATTTTTCAACGAGCCTTTGCCTAGCCTCCTTTGCTGACCTCTCTTGTTGCTCGACGAGGTCCTCAGTAGCGTCAACCTTGGCGTCATCCACCATGGAGCTCTTGTCTCCGAGAGCTAGGGCAATTGGCTCCAAGGAGATGTACTGCATCCGTTTAGGCTGCGGCCTATCGTAAAGAATAAGTTGTATGCTGGATGCCTTGGCACAAGTTATAGTTGGGGTGCGTGAAGAAGGGTGATTGATTGCGCAGACCCAAGAAGGGTCGGCGGTGGCCGTGGCGGTCGAATTCGACACGCCAAGGACGTGCATGGACGAATGCCCGCATAGTTCATATATTCGACCAGGGGAATGAGGTGCACTTCTAAAAAAAGATCCTCCCTTGAGGTGATGTTCGACTTCGCTAGCCTGAATGTTGTCAGTGTTTAGCAAAGCAGCCAATTCATCTCGTAGTGGAAGAAGGACTGACATCTACATCATCCAAGATGGCAATAACGAAAACGTCGAGGGTGGAATTCCGCCAACCCACCACTACCCCTGGACGATCGGACTTGCGTATGTCGGTAGGCCAAAACACTCGCATTAAGCCATCATGCTCTACCATGGCCACCAAATCGTCTACAGGAGCTGAGGAACCTCAAAAGGAACCACGCCTCCTAAGTTGCTCTCGAGCAGATACGCCAATCCCAGGCTCCCGCGGATGCTATAGAATCAGCACACATTAATAAAATAGTCTAGAGATATGCCGTGTGTACATGTTCCCAATCGTACCAAAGATGTCTCCTTTCTGGCTATCCAAACAACAGGTATGAAGATGGTGAGATATAAGGCAGTTAAAGCAACGACGCCCTTGGCAGCGCGAATCTGTAAATCAAAACCAAGCCGAGTTAGCCAGTGACATACAATGGTAGGCAGGTCCTCTGCTCCTCTCAGCAGAGCACTTGTAGCATACCACAACTCCGTATTCCGCTGCAAAAATGGCGAGCTCATAGAGACGGGTGACGAGATCCCAGCGCGCGGTGATGTAGCCAGCTACAAAGATGCCGAGGGTGAGTATGGAAAACGGGTGCATAGAGCGCTATTAGTTCCGGCAGCGCATGTCGCAAGACACGCCAGACACTTGGAATCAAGATTTGGACTGGTACGACGGGGGAGGATGAGGCTGCGGCCGTTCCACGCTGGCAAGGCGAATCGGATTCGCTGGGGATATAGCTTCGATGTTGGCTTGGCGCAACGGAGCTTGGGGGTGAGCCAGCAATGTTCGCTCGTGAAGGCTTTTCGCAAGTCGCCGGGAGGGCAATTGGAGGACTTGGCTGGCGTTGTTGGCCGAGGCGTCGGGAGCTCAATGTCACACAGAGTGGTAAATCTGCTTGCGCGTTGTTGGCCTCTGCTTCAAGCTTGGATTTCCTGATGGGCATCCCTGTCACGACGAACGGGGTCTGGAGGTGACGAGTGGGGCAGTCTGTGAAGTACCCGGGTACCTGCCCACTGCGGAGTTGCGCAGTTTCCAGTGCGAGCACGGAGGTACCCATCTACTTGAGTGCCTTGGAGCTTACTTGGACCCAACCATCGTCCAATGTTTCCCGGTCCAGCATTTGATGGCGTGCGGCCTGGCGTAGCGTTTTGTCCCTCCCTCCAGAGCTCCCTCCCTGTCTGTGATGCCTACCGAGTAGTTACAAGCAGCTCCTCCTCTATTAGAAATCTGTGTGCACCATGTAGAGTTATTAATAGACGTGCCAAGCACGAAATCGTGTTAATCACCTGCGTACTTGGGTACCGACTTATTATTCAACAGCCCAGAGAAGGAGCTCTGGAAAGCAGATTCAGTGCAACCTCCAAAATTCAAAACGTACTCGGGTACGGAATCGAGAAACTCGCTGAAGGAGCATTTTTAGTTATAATCCACGTCCTCCTTCTTAGTAAACGGGAACTACAGATACATGCTACCTAGTAGGTATCTACTAGTTAATGCCCAATATGCCATCAATGCCGAGCAAGCATCGAATACCCATGCTCCGTTACACAGCAGACAGGATGTCTTCTTCGAGTGCTTGCGGCTGACTGTGGCTGCCTTGACGTGGGGTCGCTGGCCTGTGTTAAGGTCCAAGTGAGGTATCTGGCCCACTTTTCTGCTATACCTAACAGGTACGTCTTTAGTGACAGAACCAGCTACGATAGGAAGATGTAGCTCTTTGTAAATTTAATTATTACTGGTACTTATACTATTATATTACTTCTCAAGTGAGAATTTGTACCGTTCAACACGGTTTTTCTCATTGGCTAGAACCCCTGCCCGGTACGAAAAATGGACCTTAACACATTCAAAGGGATTCAAAGGGATGCCAAGTCGTTTGCAGAACGTGGGTTGGACGTCACCGAGTGTCGAGTGCCAAGTGCCACAAGTGCCTCTTAGCACAGATACTCCGTACGGAGTAGGCACTTCAATCGCCATGCAGACCCACAAATACAAATAGCTTTCCACGTCCAAAAGTCCAGCCTTGAAGACGACAAACGGCTCGTCAACAGGGATCATTCCATCTCCCCACCGTCCGCGAACCACTGGCGGCTTCCGTCTTCTCGTCTTTTGCGACGGCTTCACTGGCGCGCACAATTACGCGTTGGGACTTGGAACCGCCCGTAGTCGCCAGGCTGCTCTTATTCCAGAGGTCTCATCAACGCATTGCACTTGCGCCATTGCAGCTTCGGATTGCCAAGCTTGCGCTCGTCTTTGCATTTCGCCATTTCGGCCAATTGGAACTCAATTGCTGGCAGCATGGCGCTGTCAACCAACCAGCTTGAAGAAGCTCTGATTGACGGCACGTACCATGTGTTTACCGCTGAGCCTGATGCGACAACGGTAAACAAAGTGCGGAAGCATGTTGAAGAGTCCATGGGTCTGGAAGAAGGTTTCTTCACAAGCGAGGACTGGAAACAAAAGAGCAAGGCTCTGATTAAACAATATGTTGTAAGTGGCAGCTCCCCGCTCTGCCCGCTTAATTACGCGCGGCGCAACCTGCTAATTTGAGTTTTCTTCATTCATGGGGGGGCACAGGACAAGCTGTTAGAGGGCTGGTTGCCAGAGTCGAAACAGGAAAGACAATCAGAAAATAGAACCGAGCGAGACGCTTCTGAGATTTCCCCGTCATCCCCAAAGCGCCAGAAGCACGCCGCCCAGAATGGCCAGTACACGACGCAAGATGAGGAACCCCACGGGAGCGATGAAGAGACGAAACCAAACCCGAAAAAAGTGACATCACGTCGTCAGTCTCAAACGGTAGTAGACTCGGCTAAAGATTCGAGCGACAATCTCGAGCCAGCCCCGCCCAAGAAACGAAAACAGAAAGGCAATGGCGCATCAGCAAAAGCACAGAAGGGATCGCCATCCATAGGTGAGGAGGATGATTCCAAAGACGATGCAATGTCCTCGATAGAAGTCGAAGTTTCAAACTCTGCCGTGAATGAAGAGGAAGAGTACTCGGATGTCATTGACGAGGCGCCGAAGCCAAAGCGAAAGAAGAAGGAGCGAAAGGATTCATCATCTAAACCGGCCAAGCCCAAGTTGAAGAAGACGACAGAGTCGACACCTGATGATCCCGATGAAGCTGAGATCAAGAAACTCCAATCACAGTTAGTCAAATGCGGAATCAGGAAATTGTGGCACAATGAGCTCAAGAAGTACGGAGACGACGCGAGAGCCAAAATTCGCCACCTCAAGAGAATGCTTACAGAAGTCGGAATGGATGGTCGCTTCTCCGAGGCAAAAGCGCGCGAAATCAGAGAAACAAGAGAACTCTTAGCCGAAGCAGAGGCCGCACAGGAGATGAATCGTCTGTGGGGGATGGACACAGGCGGCCGGGCGAGTCGAAGTAAGAACAAGTCGATCAAGGTCGAGGAAAGTGGAGATAGCGAGGCCGAAGATGCCGGTGGTAATGGCAGCACAGAGGACGACGATGCAGAGGAGGGTACTTCGTTTGCGGCTAGACGGAGACGCGCTCAGGCCGACCTGGCGTTTCTTGGAGATGACAGCGAATCTGATGAATGATGTGAGACTTTAGCCGAAGGTAATGTACAATTGGCAGTGGTGTTCGCAGACGGCACGAGTTCCTGTTAAAATGCAACAGACACGAAGTTGAGGAGCCTGATTTACATGTACTATATATGATATGTGTTGACTTTCGTGGCATGAGGGAGTTGGCGGTGCATTTTCCAAGGGCGTATTGCGAATTTCGGAGGGAACACGGTTGGCGAAAAAAAAAGGTGTAATTTGAGCAGGCTGTATGTATGGCTTACATTATTTGCCTAGTCAGACCACGCCTTGTATACAATTCTGGAACCATACGTCTCGCCCTTTTTCAACATGGTCATGCTCTTCCATTCAGGAACATTGACAGCATTCACCCATCGGCCGGGCTCACAGCAAAAGGCGCCTCGCCCACCCTTTGCAGAAGCTCCCTCGATTGCCGGCACATTTGTAAAGTCCCCTGTGTAAAACTGGAAAGAGGGCTCGGTGCTCAGGACTTCCAAATGGATTCCAGTCTGGGGATGGTGCGCTGCCAAATCACGGACGAGAGGCTGTGAACGAGTGTCAATCGGCACAGAAGCCGGGTCCGCAGTTTTGGTAAAGCAGTTGTCCACCTGGGGATCGGTAGCTCCAAGAGTGAAGGGCTGCGTCGTATCAATGCTGGCATGGGGAACCGGTCCCCCGGCAGGGACGGCGAACTCGTCATTGGGTAGGTGAAGCTTGGAACCCAAGGTGACGACAGTCCCCGCGATATTCGCGCCCCCCGTGAGGTTGAAGTACGAATGATTCGTCAAGTTGATTGGCGTCTCGTCGGCGCCGTCGACCAGTCTGGCCTCGTATTCAATTCCCAGAAGAAGAACCTGATTGCTGTTGACGGCCTGTGTTCCCGTCGTGTACGTGACCTTGGCCTCGACGGTGCCGGGGAAGCCCTCGTCTCCGTCCTCGCTGACAAGAGTGAAGGTGACGCTCTCTCCGCCCTGGAGACCTTGTACCCCGGGGATCTGTTTGATGCCGATGGGCGTCGGGCCCTTCCAGATGCGTTTACCCCAGCCTACATTGCCGCCGTGCAGGGTGTTGGGTCCGTTGTTGGCGGCCAAGGGGTAGACTTTGCCGTTCACGCTGTCAAGTTGAGCGCCCTTGATGCGATTGGCAACGCGGCCAATCGTCTCGCCGAAGTAGGCAGTGTTGTATTTCACGTACTGCTCTTGGGTGGGAAATCCAAGAACGATGTTTATATCGTCGACCTTGATGGATTGTATAATGGCTCCCAAGGGGAGGAAGGCGAATGGAGCATCTGGCATGTTGGAGGTTGGAGGTGTGGCGCAAGCGAAGGGAGCTGGAGATGACGGGACAAAGGAGTCAATGGAGTGGGATGGTCAGATACTGCCTGAACTGAGCCTTTGAGTTGACACGGGCCGTAGAGGTTTTTAAATTCATGTAGATGGGCTGACGGGTAGACTGATGGTGGGAACAGGCACGATGGTTCAGGCTGAACAAGTGTCACCCTCGATGGCAGATGAAGACATGCACGACCCTAATACGTCAAGGTACCCGCATTTTATTCCGGCGTCCTCGTCGTACACTGGAACGCTTGAGCACGCACCGCAGATTACCTGTTGCCTGTGTGGACGATGCGTTAATGGTGTTAAGTTTGTTGAAGCACTCGCCATCATGGGTGTCACCCTGCAAGCGGGGAGGGGTGTTGTTGGGCGAGAGAGATGGCGGCCAGAGTGGAATGATGAACATGTAATCCACTCAGGCATGCATTGATGGGTTGAGTGTATGTTAGGTTTGGCCGTCAAGGTGACAAGAGAGACAAACTCTTGGCCGTCTCAGCCAGATTCCGTACTAAGGATACGTTGTTGGGACGTCTGAGGATGGACACCTTGGTCCTTGGTGCATATTCTTGATGGCTGTCGGCGTCGGGCTGTGAACTAATATCGCGTCAAATCTGTTCAATGTTCAACCGACATGTTCGTATACTTTAATCAAACATTTGAGTTGACAACACAAGGCAGCCTCCAAATTTGATTCATCTTATTTAAATCTTCCGCCTAAAGTCTCCGTCCAGCCACCAGATCCAGGACTTGGTTTATTTTTATTTTATTTTTATTCTTATTTTTTTTCATATACCATATATACTGGCTTGATGTCCCACAAGCGCACTCATCGCATCGCCAACCTACATTTCTTCATCACAACTCGCCTACCATGGATGCACCTACACCAAAGGCAACGCCAAAACGGAAACGCTATGGGGAGGTTTCCCTGAGCCCAGTCAAATTCTCCTTTGATCCATCGACAGCCGAATCCACAGACGATGGAAGTAATAGTCCACGGTCCAAGGTTGCGCATCGATTTCGCGGTCTGGCCCTTGGAAGTGGGGGCGGGGTTGTAAATGAACATGGCCACGAGGCAGACGTCGGGGATGGCCCAGACTCTGCGCGGAAACGACAAAGGCCAGACGACGTCGTGGCCGATGTCAGTGAAGAAGACCGTCAGCCAGGGGCAGATTCTCCTACACCACGGTCAAGTCAAGCCCTCGGCACCAGGCCCAAGGCCACTGCCGGACACCTCGCATCTCAGATTCCAACGTTGGTAGAGGCTGCTCCAGAACCAGTAATCCAACCACCTCGTCGAAGAAGGGCTGGTACACCACCGCTGAAATTGCACAAGTCACCGAAGAAGGCCAAGAATGATAGTGTTGAAGCAAGCGAAGCACCCGTCGCTGATGAAGATGACATTATCGTGGATCCGGTCAGGGCGGCCCTCACATGGCACGACGATGAAATCACCGTTTACGACCCCAATGACAAGGATGATGATGGTACCGGCATTAACGGAGTGGGCTTCAAGCCAACTCCCGCAATTGCAGAAGCAAGAGCCATTCGCAGACGACATCAGATGGCTGAGTATCGGAAACGGGAAGAGAGTGAAGCTAGAGCAAGGCGCAGTCAGCGACGAAGAGGAGAAGAACCCCTATCGGCTCGGCTGAAAAAGAAATCACCTTCGAGAAAGGTCAGATTTGTGGATTCGGAAGGGCAGAATGCTGTTGTGACAACATGCCGGGCTACGATGTGACGAGAACACTAATCGTGGTCCTCTGTAACGAATGGTATGACGTTGCTGGGCTGGGCGTTGACAGGCGGGTTCTATTGGGCCTTTGTCTATTCTTGTGGCGCATTTGAAGCGTATTTCTGGCCGGGAATTGGCGTTTACATAGTCATATTTGACACTTTTCTTTCCTTTCCTTTGATTCGAGTGGTTTTGCGGGATGCAAAGCCAGGCGCATTACCACCACTGCTTCTCGTGCAATGCGACACTCTAGAAATAATTGTTTTCTTGTTCTTTGCTGGTACTAATCCTGAAATCAGCATCTATAAACACTTGCTAGGGCCCCATGTTGTACATGATTTTATACAGATGATCAAAGGATCGATGACATCGTGTCACCAAAACTTATACCAAGGCTTCTGCGCCGCTATCCGCTCTTGTTCAAGCCGCATCTGTTCCTTCTTCTCCTCGGCCGCCTTTCTAGCCTGCTCTCTCTTACTTTCTGACACCACTTCGATGTGACGCTTCATTTGTATCCGCTCGGCTCGTCGGAGGTATTGACAGTACTCGTATGATGCCGTGCTTCCGAGTATAAACATCCCGACAGCCCAATTCGCCGCCTTGACGGCATTGCCTACAGGAGGAATTGTCAGTGCATCCCTAGCTAGTGAACGGGATTGGAAAGATGGGTGTTCCTTACCCCTCAAGACAAACCTCAATCCGCCAACACCGGCGCCAGCAGCAATACCAGCCAGGAATCCTTGTCTGGCACACGGTGTATTGTGAACATTGGTAAAATCCTCCGTCTTTATCATACCGACTGCATCCGCAATAGTCGGTCTAGCATTATTCGTCGTCTTGTCGCCTCCTTGGCTTTGCGACTCGTCGGCTTGTTCTATAGGTTTTGACCAGACATGCAGCGTCTTTTGGTTTGCGCCTGGTTGCGCAATCTCGACATTGGGTGCCATCTCTGGCTACCTCCGCAGATTAATTGATATCATGAATCAGGAAGCCGAATATCCAAACTACCAAAGTACCCAAGGTACCGGGAATATCACTAATGTCGTTGAGGTTGAATGCTAATGACGCCAAGAGCAGTTCTGGATTTAACCACCTGATTGTATCCTCATGTGGCGCCTGGCCTTTTGTGGCACAGTTGCGGGTTTCCACCGATGTGGCTGAAGCTGCTTGAAACCCATTAAACTTGTGGATCTCGACCGTGTCGCGCATGAACGCGCTCTGGCGCGTCTCCCTCGAGCCGTGCTGCAATTGCTACTCTATTTGCTCTTGTTGGTCATCCATTTGGCTCCAGAAGTTGATAGGACAGACACTAGACCTGTCCCATCCCACTTGATTTGGATTATACAAAACACTCCAAAGACAACTCAATCCTGATCATCGTGGCCTCCCATGATTACCTCACCAGTCCACCTAGCTCGAGCCGCCAATCTTTCATAACTCGGGTTGAGGCTTCTCGACACATAGTAGACACAAAATGCCCAACACAAGCCTACGGAAACCACAGAAGGGTTTCCGCCGAGGCGGCAAAACAGCATATCACGGTCAACGGACTCGTACGTTTGCCGCTACCTCAAGAGCAGAGGGAACTTCAGCAGATGAGAAATGGGAACGGACAAGGCTCGCCCAAACGATAGACGAAAACTTTGGCTTCGGGAGATACGACAGTGGAAAGAAGAAGGAGGGCTGGCTCGTCAATGTTCAGCCCACCGCTATTGAGGATGAGAGGAATCCCGGCGGAAGGGCGGCACTTGATTGCTACTTCATTGAACATGATGGTGCAACATTCAAGGCGACTGTCGAGTACGATCCTTACTTTCTGATTGCCGTCAAGAAGGGCCACGAATCCGAGGTGGAGGAATGGATCAAGCGAGTTCCTGGCGACGGGTGTATCAAAACCATTCGCAGAGTAGAAAAGGATGACTTGAAAATGCCGAATCACCTGCTGGGTTATCGGCGGACCTTCTTGGAACTCAAGTTTGCCAATGTCCCAGACCTCATGGCTGCCAGGAGGGATATTATGCCCGTGGCTGAGAAGAACAAAAAGAATATGAATGCCATGGACGCATATGCTGAAGTTGTCACGTAAGTCGCAAATGCATGATTTTCTATTGCAACTTGGATTGAGATTTGACATGATATACAGAGCTAATGGAAACTTTGACCTTTTCGACGACGATTTACGAACTGATGAACGAACGAGTAACTCATTCGCCGAGGCGAGTGACTACATTGTTGATATTCGCGAATATGATGTACCATACCATGTGAGAGTAATGATAGACCTTGGTGCGTTCTTATCCGTTCTTGTTTCTTTTTGGCCAGTATATTGACAGCGAGACAGATATACGAGTTGGAAAATGGTACTATGTTGAGGTTAAGCACGGAGTAACCAAAATTTTGCCCAATGAAGACCGATCGCTTCCCGCGGATCCAGTTGTTTTGGCATTTGATATTGAAACAACCAAACTCCCTTTGAAGTTCCCCGACGCTGCCATTGACCAAATAATGATGATTTCATATATGATTGACGGCCAGGGGTTCCTAATCACAAATCGAGAAATCATTTCCGAGGACATTGGTGATTTTGATTACACCCCCAAGCCAGAATATCCCGGCCCCTTTATGATCTTCAACGAACCAAATGAGAAGGCTGTTATTGAGCGTTTCTTTCTTCACATAAAAGAAGCCAGACCAACCGTTATCGCGACTTACAACGGCGACTTTTTCGATTGGCCTTTTGTTGAAGCCAGAGCGAGCGTCAATGGTATCGATATGTACCAAGAAATCGGGTGGAAGAAGGACAGCGAAGATCAGTTTAAATGCAATTACGGAGTCCACATGGACTGTTTCCACTGGGTCAACCGTGACTCTTATTTGCCACAAGGTTCTCGCGGTCTGAAGGCCGTCACAGTTGCCAAATTAGGATATGACCCCGACGAACTCGACCCGGAGTTGATGACACCCTATGCCAGTGAAAGACCACAGACCTTGGCCGAATACTCAGTTTCCGACGCTGTTGCCACGTATTTCCTGTACATGAAATACGTTCACCCCTTCATCTTCTCTTTGTGCACAATTCTTCCCCTGGGTGGTGATGATACACTTAGAAAAGGTACTGGTACACTGTGTGAGATGTTGCTCATGGTCCAGGCATATCAGAAAGAAATCGTGCTTCCTAACAAACATCAGTCTCCCAAAGAAGCATTCTGGGATGGTCATCTTCTGGACTCGGAAACATATGTCGGAGGACACGTTGAGAGTATCGAGGCAGGGGTCTTCCGAGCGGACATTCCCGTGGATTTTGCCGTCGATACAGGTGCTATTGATGAATTGCTGCGCGATATAGATGCTGCGCTAAAATTCGTTATCACTGTGGAGGAGAAGAAGTCGCTAGATGACGTTGAGAACTACGACGAGGTCAAGGAACAAATTGTTGCAAAGCTGATGAAACTCAAGGAAACACCAAACCGACGGGAACGGCCACTCATCTACCATTTGGACGTCGCATCCATGTATCCTAACATCATGACAACAAACCGACTACAACCAGATTCTATGATTGACGAATCGGATTGTGCGGCTTGCGATTTTAACCGACCGGGAAAGACATGTGACCGAAGACTGCCCTGGGCCTGGAGAGGAGAGTATCTTCCCGCCAAGCGAGACGAGTACAACATGATTCGACACGCTTTGGAAAACGAGAAGTTCCCTGGCAAGACACCACACGCGCCAATGCGCACATTTGCAGATCTGAGTGCCGACGAGCAAGCCTCCCTGGTACGGAAACGACTCCAAGTATACTCACAAAAGGTGTACCACAAAATCCACGATTCCACTACCATTGTACGTGAGGCCATCATTTGTCAGAGAGAGAATCCATTTTACATCAATACTGTACGAGACTTTCGTGACCGACGATACGACTATAAAGGAAAGGCAAAAGTATGGAAGGGCAAAACCGAGTCACTCAAATCCTCAGGCGCGAGTGCAAGTGAAGTTGACGCGGCCAAGAAGATGATCATCTTGTATGATTCTCTACAGCTGGCTCACAAAGTCATTCTGAACTCCTTCTATGGTTATGTCATGAGAAAGGGTTCGCGATGGTATTCTATGGAGATGGCTGGTGTTACGTGTTTGACCGGTGCAACAATTATCCAGCTGGCACGACAGCTTGTGGAACGATTGGGAAGGCCTCTGGAACTTGACACCGATGGTATTTGGTGTATGCTGCCGGCAACATTCCCCGAAAACTTTGCCTTCAAACTAAAGAACGGAAAGAAGCTCCCCATCTCATATCCCTGTGTTATGTTGAATCATCTTGTTCACGACAAGTTCACAAACCACCAATATCAGACGCTTGTAGACCAGAAAACGTTCAAGTACGAAACTCACAGCGAGAACTCCATCTTCTTTGAGGTCGACGGTCCCTACAAGGCAATGATTTTGCCAACATCGAAGGAGGAAGATAAGAATCTGAAGAAGCGATACGCAGTCTTCAATGATGATGGTAGTCTTGCTGAATTGAAGGGATTTGAGGTCAAGAGACGTGGCGAACTAAAGCTCATCAAGATTTTTCAACAGCAAATCTTCAAGTTCTTCCTAGAAGGAGAGGATTTGACACAGTGCTACGGCGCCGTCGCCAAGGTTGCAAACCGATGGCTCGATGTACTACACAATAAGGGATCGACCTTGGCCGACGAAGAGCTCATGGAGTTGATTTCGGAGAACAGGAGCATGTCCAAAACGCTGGAAGAGTATGGGTCACAAAAATCGACCAGTATCACCACGGCCAAACGTCTTGCCGACTTCTTAGGCGAGCAAATGGTAAAGGATAAAGGTCTCAATTGCAAGTTCATCATCTGCGCAAGGCCACGCAATGCTCCAGTTACCGAACGTGCCGTCCCAGTTGCCATCTTTTCTGCCGAAGAGTCCATCAAGAGGACATATTTAAAGAAGTGGCTCAAGGAGGAGCCCGCCGACACGGACCCAAGAGCTCTCCTGGACTGGGATTATTATCTGGAGCGTCTTGGTTCAGTTATTCAGAAGCTCATCACCATCCCCGCCGCCCTGCAAAAAGTTCGAAATCCAGTCCCGCGGGTGCCTCACCCTGATTGGCTTCAGAGACGTATCAATATCAAGGATGACAAGATGAAGCAAAAGAAATTGACGGATTTGTTTACGAAAGAGCCACTTGGAGACATTACAAATATCAATGGCTCCCGAATGGAGGACTTGGAGGACTTTGGGCGTAAACTTCTCAAGCCAAAGCAAGTCAGTACGGCAGTTGCCTCCTCACAGCCTGCACTGACAGTTCAAAAACGTAAATCCCCGGAACCTACCGAGAACACGGACCCCATGGCGGCATTACCCAAAGTCATGCCGAGTCCGTCGGAAAACTACCCTGCCTTTCTGAAGTATCAGAAGCAAAAGTGGAAGCTGCAGAAACAAGCTCGTATTCGCAGGCGACAGTTGTTTGGCGACAGGAGAGGCCTGACTGGCAACAACATTCAGCAGTCGTTTATGAAACAAGCACACATCACTTTCATGAATACTTGGCAGTTGCTTCACCTGCAGACCACTGACAGCCCTGGCGTTGTAACTGCTCATGTTTTGATCGACGCCAAAATTCACACTGTGAAAGTCAATGTTCCTCGACAAGTCTTTTTGAATCTCAAGGGCAGCGAGCTTCCTGATGTTGATATTGCGGGCTGCGAGGTCGAGCAGGTTAATTACACTCTTCCGAACGGCCACCCTTCAAGCCATCTCTTTAAGCTTACTGTTCCAGAGGGCGTGTATTTTAGTGAAGCTGCCAAGTTCTCCCTGCTGTTCAATCACCCTAGCGTGGAAGGCGTGTACGAGAAACAAGTACCTCTGAATATCAGGGCCGTTCTCCGTCTTGGAAACCAATGCGTGATTGATGAGCAACAGAATGCGGTGCTTGGCAAGGGTCTAGAACAGGGCTTTGACCTGTTTGGCCTAAAGAGACCTGTCAAGACACGTACATACTTGGAGTCATCTCCACTGGCTTATATATATATTTCTCACATCACAGCAGGTGAGCGCCAGATCTTTGGTATATTTTCGACCACTTCGGATCAGGGTCACATTATCATTCTGCAGAAGAACAAGGATTCTGGTCAAGATCTTCCTAACGTTAGTCGAATGTACGGAGAGATGTTGGCCAAACGAGCTGAAGAAGCAGCGGGTACGAATTGGCAGGACTGTTTTATATATCAGGAAAAGATGACATTCAAGGTCACTCAAGTCTCCACACGTCGGAAAGTCCATTTGGAAATCGGCGACGTCGTCAAGAAGATGCGAAAGGATGAATCCAGACCGCAAATGATGGTGATCCAGTCTTCGCAACGCAACCTGCTGGTCCACGATATTCCTGTCCTAGGAGAGTTTCCTGTCTTGCCCCTGAAGTACGATGCTACGGATAGTTCTCTCCCACCACTGGGTTGGCAAGCTGTTGTGGCCCGCCGTCTGGTTGGTCACTACCTCGGCCTTGGCTCTTGGATATTACACCTTACTGCGCTTGCGAGATATGGCGATGTTCCTCTCTGTAATCTGGAACGGGAAGACCCTCGTTTCCTGATCGACATTGCCTATGCTCGTCGACTACAAGCTAATGGAGTTGTGCTATGGTGGTCGGCTGGCCCACGACCCGACCATGCTGGGTATGAAAAGGATGATATCCTTGGTCCGCTGGATACTGTTAAGATGCCCAATGTGAACAACCCGGGTACTTTTGCTTCAGTATGCATCGACCTCGATGTACGGAACTTGGCAATTAACACCATTCTGACATCGTCACTTATCAACGAATTAGAAGGGGCAGATTCCGTATCGTTTAACCCAAGCGCTGACGGATCAGAGACTTTGGCTTCGGATAATGCCTTTGCCAATGCTGGCGTCCTTGTCCTCCGTGAAATGGTCAAAGCATGGTGGGCAGAGGCCTGTAAGGGAAGCACCATGGCGGACGTGTTGGTTCAACATCTGGTCCGCTGGGTCGAGAATCCCGATTCTTTCATGTATGACCGAGCCCTACACTACTACGTGCAAATGATGTCTCGAAAAGCCTTCCAGCAGCTCATGGCAGACTTCAGACGGGTCGGGTCACAAGTTGTCTTTGCCAATGCCAACCGCTTGATTCTGCAGACAACCAAGGCTGAAGTTGGAAACGCCTTTGCCTACAGCCAGTATATCATTAAGTCGATCAAGAGTAAGCCTCTGTTTCACTTTATTGATCTCGAAATCAAAGAGTACTGGGACTACTTGGTGTGGTACGACGAGTTCAACTACGGTGGCAAAGGATGCCAGGAGGTCATTGAAGCGGAGGAACAGAATCTGGAAACCATTATGCACTGGCAAATGGCTACATTTCTACCTGTGCGACTACAACCGACTTTCCAGGAATGGGTCATTGCGTTCATACAGCTCATGCACAATCTCAAGCGGCCGGCGAGCAATGACCCCGACTCAACGCCTCGTCTGACACAGTTACCCAATCGCAATGATGAAAATGGACAAGGTCAGATCATTCTTGGAAAGGCCTACGAGAAACCACTCAAAAAGGCCATTGCTAGTCTTATAAGCCAACAAAAGCGAGAGCTCTTGCATCCAGAGCTAGCGGAGGACTATAGCTTCCCCAGTCTGCCGGGATCTCACCTGACTCCTCGTGCTCCTGTGCTGGAGCTGGTCAAGTCACTCATGCAGATTCTCTCTCTAGACAAGAATGTCACACTCGAAGCTCGTCTATTGCGTAAGGAGCTATTGGCATTATTCGACGTACGAGAATTCTCCAAAGAAGGCACGTTTGCAAACCCCTCGGAGAGTCTCAAGCTCGTGCAAATATCATGCGACAGCTGCACACTGGCCCGCGACTTGGACCTTTGCAGGGACGAAGATCTTCAAGGAAGCGATGGTCGAGGCTGGCAGTGCAGCTTCTGCGGCACGGAATACGATCGTGTTACCATTGAAGAAAGACTCTTGTCCATGGTAGAAGCTTGGACAGTGGAATGGGCAACGCAGGACCTCAAGTGTTCCCGGTGTGGCGCCTTGCGGGTGAATGACTTGATGGAACATTGTACATGCAGTGGCGAGTGGAAAGAAATAGTATCTCGGCAGGAGACTATGCGAAAGCTGACGGTAATGAGGAGGGTGGCCAAGTATTACAGTCTAAGGATGCTGAGCGATGTTGTGGAGGGCCTTTTCTCGGACGTGTAATGCAGCAGAGATGTTGATATTGCATCAACGGCGTTTTACCATGTGGGTTCATCGGGAGGCATGAGAAGCAAAGGTGGGACTTGCTTATTGGGCAATTTTGCGTATACCAAGAAAATATAATGTGTTTGGCATGGACCATTCAACGTGCCGTCATCGTTGGTTCCCCTCGTTGCGCTACATCTACGCAGAAACCGTACAAAATCTTCCATCACAGCTTCAGCCCACTGTTTCCGCTCGCATCTGCTCCAAATCGTCCATAAACGGGCCCAAAAGCCCATCAACCCTTTCCAGTGCCTTCTCCGTATCCTTGTGGGAAACCGCCCTCGCAACAGTACTGCGAAACATCTTGGCCGTGTCGAGATACTCCCAAAGCTTCCGCTTCTTTGCATCTTCCGCGCCAGCCGGCTCCCTCCACCCCTTGACTTTGATGACAAAAGGGGCCGAGGCATGCTCGCCCTTTACGAGCCTTTGCCCGCGAATACTCGCCCAAACACCCAGTCCTGCACATATGTCCCGCAGAATATTAGGTGCCAGGTCAACCAGGGCGTGTGTGCCCCTTCTCTCATCGTCATACCTTGCCATCCAATTACACAAGTCTACGGCGTCCCTGACAGCCCGTAAGCTCTCATATTCGACCCTGAAGCAGGCCACTTCGCCACCGAGATTGGCTTCCTGGCAGATTCCGTATTCCTCAACAAAGCCCTCAATCTGCAAGTGGCAGCTCGTTTCCAGGAGACGCATCACACACCTCTGCAGTTGAACATGGACGTCCGTCCTGGACGCCCTGCTGTTGTCGCAATGGCGCAGATAGTCCGGGCATCTGGCTCTCCAAGAATCGAGCTGCCTGTAGATCGCCTCGATGTCTGCGACCTTGACGCCCTGTCTCCTACATGTTGCGGTGCAGAACTTTTGTCCCATGTTCCGCGCGATTATCGCCAGCGACAGGATGGCGTCCAGGTAGCTGTGTGCTTCGTTTCGGGGCAGCGAAGCCGTGATGTCGATGTCGGTGTCCGGTATGCGCGACAGCTTCTTGTGGTCGAGGTTGTTGAAGGCATCTAGGCCGTAGACGTGCCAGAATAGGAGGGTTCGACGCTCAGGCGCTCGGGAAAGGGGTGAGGAGGACGAGGCGTTTTCCTCGAGGCGATACTGCAGCGTCATCATGACGAGTGAGTCGTGGGACAGGAATAGCGTTTCCATGTGTGCCGGAAGGGAAGACGCCGTGTTGTTTTCGTATTGGAAATTCAGCATGAGGGCCAGTGCCTCCATGTCGTCGAGGCGGTCTGCCCCCCGGCCAGGCGTCGACTGGTGCTCGAAGAAGGATTGCTTAAACTTGCTCGCCAGGCGCTGCTGCATCTCCCACTTGTCGGGGAGGTCCGTGAATGGCATCCCACGGCAAGCAATGGCGTAGATGAGCGCGTGGCAGCACCTGTTTGATTCGTAGTCCTGCCAGAAGGCGTCTTGGAGGAGGATGGGCAAGCATAATGCCGCGTGGGTGAAGTAGAGCCCGAGGGCAGCCCTGAACGTGGCCGAGTCCATGTTGCAGCTCTGCCAAAGCTCATGATGTTGATCGTCTGGTGAGGGTGCCTCTGATATAAGCCGGTCCTGACTTGGCGCGAGGCTCAGGGGCGTGTTGGTCCATTCTGAGGGCGACGGGTCCCCCATGAAGATTTGGTCGAGAAACAGTATGCTATCTGCACTGAGATCAAATAGGTTGTCCGACAGTAGGAAAGACGGTGTCCCTGTGAATGGTGTGTTTTGCGTTTCTGGAGATATTATACCCTGTGGTGTGAGATTCGCAATGGCGGGTTCCAAGGTTGCGGTTGAAGGCGCATCTTTTGAGGCGGCAGCATCGGCTGCTTGAAAACACCCCGGGTCCGGCGTGGCAGTATGGACACGTCTCGTCTGTTTTCTCCTCTGAATGCGAACGTCGTTGGAATCATCAACGCTGCAGGCTAACTGTCGTAAATCACACTGGGAGCACTTGGGCTCACCGCCAGCAAGTCGGGAAGACCGATCGCATTTGATCTTGCGTCTGTGACAGAAATCGCACGACTCCCGTTCTAACCCGCGTTTCAGCCGCATTATCGGTTTCTTGTTATCCTGTAATGCATGGAGTTGTGTCGGGCATGCACTTCCATATGAGAAGCGGGTTATGGGCGGAGATTGTGCGGGGGATAACACGGCGATTTTGCGGGTATTTCGAGGCTCTTTCGTGGAGGGAGTTGGGGGCCTTTTTAGGGTAGGATTGAATAAATTCTTAAATCTCTGGCCTTCGTGGTGTCTATTAATGTGATTTTCTTTATTTTTTTTCGTGTTATTGAATCGATTTATCAAGTTTGGGTGGATATCTGCCCGTGATGGATAATAGTACCAATTCCACAACCAATGTCCCACCCAACGGTGAGGGAGCTCTTCCTTTTACTCCCCTTCTCGCTCCAAGTGCCATATTCGCTTCTATATTTGGAATCTTGTTACTTCTCCATACTTTCTTGGCATGCAAATTCAGGAGGTGCTATGGCTATTCTATTGGGATGTTGTGCGGTATATTCTTGGAGTTTTTAGGCTACATTGCCAAGTTGCTGCTTTCTAATAACCGGAGGGACAAAAATGGCTACATTATGTAGGTCTTTCAAACAGGAAAGGAAGTGTTTAGCTTATTGGGAAAGGAGTATCTTACAATGTGTCTAGGTACATTATTGGCCTAACACTTGGTCCAACGTTTCTCTCATCCTCCTTGTATCTCGGGATCAGCATGCTTCAGCGACACTACTCTCAAGCACGAGTAAAACACATAGGACCTCGGATGTTTGCCACCCTCTTTATCCTTGGAGACTTCGCTTGTCTCTGCTTTATAGGGTGTGGCGGATCTCTTGCGGCCATTTTCGCGGATAGTCCAGTTGGTATTAATCTGATGATGGCGGGGTTGGCGACGCAGGTCTTATTTACGGCTATATTCTGTCTCGTTCTTTTTGTCGTTTACAAAAAGATACAATTGAGGCTCAGGTATGATGGAATGCGGTGGTATATGCTCGGTGAGTCGACATGGCTGGGCGATACTACAGCCGGGGATTAACTGTGGTATTAGGTGCCTCGCTAGCCGCTGCTTGCCTCTTTATCCGTTCTTGCTGGAGGGTCGCCGAGTTGAGTGGCGGGTTTAATGGCCCTCTGGCGTCGAAGGAGGGTGTTTTCATCGCGTTGGACAGTGTTCAGATGATTATCATGTCTATATTGCTCACGGCATTACACCCGCAGTACTGGTTCGGTGAAGGGTGTCAAGCCAAGAAGTTGGTGGATGAATACAATCTAGTAAATAGGATATAGATGGCATGTCGTGTGTATTTTCACATCTCGCCTGTGGCATGCCATAGCTCTCGTTTATATAAATGTCCGTCAGCCAACGTCAAGCACGTGGTTCGCCCGGGAGGCCGCCTTCCCCTCGCGAGGCAACCAACAGCTGCTCTGGCCCGTCTGCCCTGCCTGTCTTGCCCTTGGCCCCCATGTGCTTATTCACCCAGCGATATCGGGCGCTCCTTCCATAAGATCTTGCAACTCCAGGTCGAACTCGACACCTCAGACATCAAACCATCTTCCTGTTGGCGTCATTTTGAGGCCTTGATTCCTCAATGTCCTTTACTACACTTGGCAGCGTCTTGAACCATTGACAAAATACAACTCGATATGCTTAAGCAAGAGCAACTAAACCGACGGTCAAGGAAAGCCACTTCTTGGTGCCAGCCGCCGAGTCTCCAGGCCGCGCCGTCCCTGGCGCCACAAGGGCCGTTTGAAGATATGACCAGTCACAACATTGGGCACAACTATGACCACGGTGTACACTCGCTCTACATGACTCCCGATGGACTACAACTCTCGCCCGAAGACATCCAATGGGCCACGGACAAAGGCGTTGCACCAAAAATCCTAATCAATGGTGTCACATGTTCATCTCTATTCCACGACCCTCATGGCCTGTATCACAAACTGCTTGGACACGATGGTTTCGATCCACACTGGCCAGATCGTCATTCACTCCCATCCAAAGGCTTGAGAAGCACCGCCAGTCTCGATGCTCCATCCTCGACAGGCTCAACTCTTTCTCCCGTCCAAACAGAACAGGGTGAAGCGTTGATCGGTCCACGTTCGCCCTGCCCAAGTCACCTGGGCAGAGAGAGTAGCAAAGAAGATGCAGACGAGCATACCAGGGATAATGTAGAATCTGGGCTTATCAACTACAAAAAGCTGATTTGCCTAGCACCTCACTGCCATCTTTCGTTCGCGTCTGGTACGGATCTTCAAACGCATATTCAAGCTGTGCACACTCATACATGCAGTTGGGCTGGATGCCCGCAGCCAAATTTCGCCACCCGGAAAGAACTTGCTTGGCACGTTAAAGTTGAGCACTTACTCGTGTGCCCAGTGTTGGAGTGTTCCGACCAACCGTTCCAGAGCAGGCGTGAGTTGTTGTCCCATATTGCCGAAGAACATCCAGATTCTGGGAAGGACGCTGTCAAGGAATGGGAACTGCCGTCGTACGCCACAGACAACAGAGAGACAAGCCCGAAATTTAATCACAATATCGAGTCGACGCCAACAAAGTCAACTATAAATGTTGACTCAGAAACCAAGGCAGCTGTGAAGGATGTCATGGTGGCGAGGGCCAAGAAGAAATACCAAGACCGGCTTTGGACCATCATCGAAAAGAAAGCCCGAAAGAATGCCGGTACGTTCAAAATGACTTCCTTGTGCCCTCTGAATTCGCCATACGATGCTTGAGTTTCTCTCGACCTAGACTCCCAACTAATGAACAAAGGCACCCCTCGAGCCGGACATACCCCAACAGACCTCGTCCAGGCACGTACGACCCGTACCCTCGAGACAGCCAGCTTCCCTCTCGTCTTTGAACATGCAATCCTTCCATTCCTGGCCGAATTTATTCCTAAATGGTCCGGTCCTCGTCATGTCATTTCCTGTAACAAGGGTCGAACGCCCCAACACCGCCGAATTTGTATAATGACAACAGCAATGTTATCGCGAACCCGGAAAATCATCATCGCCCGACACGTCACCGACCTAGTCCCTGAAAAGTATAGACGCTTAGTGAGTTTTGTCTTCTCTGTCGGCCAAATAAGTCGTGCTGCACGCTGGGCTAGAGGCCTTAGTCAGACGCACCCAGATGACGTCCTGTCTGCCAGGAACCCATACCATTTCAGTTGTCCATGTATGGGTGACAGTGTGGGCATCCCACGGCAGGGAACTATCGAGGAGAGTGGAGCCACATTGGGACCGTGCTTAGACGTTGACGGGGGGTCTGTTGGGGAGAAAAGTGGATCAAGTCACGTTACACGGTGAAATGAGGGGTAATACTACTGGGGACACTTTAGGTAAAAATGAGAAAGAATAATAGTAATAAATATAATTAATGCTATAAATTATTATATAGTTTTAGTAATAAAACTAGGACCTTATAATTCTAGTGCCTTTCTTTATTTCTTTCTTTCTTAACTTAATATAAGTGCTAAACACTTAATAAAGCTATATAAATAAGCCCTTATTATTAAACGAATATTATAAAGCTTACTAGTACTACAAAACGAATTAATTCTTACGAGAACTTAAGACTATAATATTAAGACTTTAATAAAGCTTAGAATTAGTTATAAAAGATTACTAAACTTATATAAAGCTAAGAATAATACAAATAAACCTTTACTTTATATAAAGAAGAGAATAATATAAATAAACCTTTATAAGAAATTAAGATTATAAGATTAAGATTATAAAGGAGGCTAGAACTATTTATAAAAGATTACACGAATTATAAGGCGTAAAATAGTCTTAATATAAATAAAATAAGAGGAGAACTTAATACTATAATATTAAGATTACGAAGAAGTTATAGAATAATACTTATACTTTAAAAGACTATAAGAGCCTAAAGAAGGTAATTAAATAAAGGCTAAATATACGCGAATAAATAATTTAAACTTTTAATTTTAAGGGAGCCTTAAAACACCTTTTAAACACTTAAAGAGGGATATAAAGAGGTCTATTTTCCATGGTTTTTTATGGTTATAAACTTAAATAATTTAAAAGCCTTTAAACGATAGCTAAATATACTATAATATAGCTTTACTTTACTAGACTTTAAAGAAGTCTTAAAACCTACGCTAAACGCTTAAAGAATAAAGTAATAATCTTTATTCTTAGAACTATAAACTTAGTGAAATTAAAAGAGATTAAATATATTAACTAGGCGCTTATAAATAAACTAAGACACACGATTATTACTTCTCTTTTTCTAAAAAGTATAAAAAGACCCTTAAAGCTTTTAATAGAACTTTAAAGACGCCTATTCTTTTATTAAAGAATTACACGAGATATCTTCTTATAGAAGTTATATAAGACTAAAAAACTATAAGTATTTATTCGTTTTATAATATATTAAGATATAATAATAAGGCTAATAATATATTAGATTTATAAAAATAATTAATAAACCACGAAATTAATTTCTAGAAACCTATACTAATAGTACCTTATAAAATAATAGAACTAGTAATAGGTGTATCTACTTTTCTATTACATAATCTCGCGATTATAGTTAAGTGTAAGCTTAAAGTTTTAGCTAGATAAAAGTGGGGCGAGAAGCTACTAAATATTAGTAAATATAGGATTATTCTTTTAGTTTTTAAGGCCGCTTTATAACCTTACTTTAAAGCGAGAAACCTTAATTTTCATATATAAGTACGTTACACTTAACACTAAAGAGCGTACGAATTACCTTACCCTACTAATCTCTTATTAAACTTATTTAATTAAATAAGGAGTATTAAGTATAAACTATAAGAGTTATATTATAAGAACGTAAAATTAATTAAACTTAATTAAATTAAGTATTATAAGAAATTTATAGGGAAGATAGTAATAATTAAGATATTATTTATTATTAATAAAAAGGGTAATTAAAAGTAAAACTAAAATAAAAGAAAAGGGTTTCTTCTTCTAGAGAATTTATATTTAAATTTTTATCTATTAATCTATTAACTTATAAGAAATAAGAGGCGTGATAGATTTACTAAAGGTTTAGCTTTAATTTTACCTTTATTATAACTTTTTCTAGCTTATAAGCTACTTTCTATTACCGCTTAAATAAACACGCTTATATTTATTAAACTCCTTTTATTAAACTCTTATTATTAGCTTATAGTAACGTAATAACACTTAAATATACTTTTCCTTTTAGTCTTTTAAAAGCTAATATTAGCTTAAGAACATTTAAAAGACCTTAAAGTTTAACCTTTCCCCTTATTATATTAAGCTAATTTAAAACTATTAAACTTAAACTTAAACTTTAAACTTAACTTTACGCCTTTATTTATAAAAGATCTCTCTTTTAATTCTATACATTTATTAAAGGACGTTTTACCTTTATTCCCACGTTTATTAATTAGTTTAAACTTAAAAGAGAAGAAGATTAAGAAACCACTCTTATTTTTACTATTAAGAATTATAGACCCTTTAGGCTCTTATCTTATAAGGGGAGTAAAAGGAATTTCATTTACTAGATATCTTAAAGATAGTTCTACTTAAGATTACGTTAATTACTATAATATTATAGTAATATTAGTAAGAGTACTAGAATATATAAACACTTTAGCCTAGGTATATTTTATATAAGGTTTAAGAGAAAGAGCGGTAATATAATATAAGAACTTAAATTATAAGAATAAAAGATAAGACGCGCTTTTAATAAAGTTTATTAAGAAGTTTTTAAACCTTAACCCTTATTTAAAGGTAGCTATAAAACGAGAGGTATTTTATTTTACTAGGGAAAAGAGAGAGTTACTAATAGCTTATATTTAAAGAGTAAAGAACTTAATAATAAAGGTAAAGATTAAAGCTCTTACGAATATAGTAAATACAAGTGTATTGTATATTGTATTTTGTATTGTATTGTATTTTCGTGTATTGTATTTAAATACATTACATTACATTAGTAAAATACCTATAAATGTATTTTAAGGAAAAAAGACCCTTGTTTTTTTAACTTAAAATTATAAGGCTAATTATAAGGGTTATAAGGAAAGTAATATTAGTAAGAGTACTAGAATATATAAACACTTTAGCCTAGGTATATTTTATATAAGGTTTAAGAGAAAGAGCGGTAATATAATATAAGAACTTAAATTATAAGAATAAAAGATAAGACGCGCTTTTAATAAAGTTTATTAAGAAGTTTTTAAACCTTAACCCTTATTTAAAGGTAGCTATAAAACGAGAGGTATTTTATTTTACTAGGGAAAAGAGAGAGTTACTAATAGCTTATATTTAAAGAGTAAAGAACTTAATAATAAAGGTAAAGATAAACGTAAGATAGATATTACTTATTAACTTTATTACTTATTTAATAGATAAAGAAATAAACGCTTAGCTTTAAAAGTAAGTGTTAAATAAGCTATTTACTTTAAATAAATAAATATAAGAGATAGCTATTAAAGGTTTAATAATAGCGGATCTTAAGATTATTCTTTATAATTATCGCTTATTTACCTTAAAAAAGATTATAAGATAATATAAGAAATTAACTCTAGTAATAAGTATAAACCTAATTCGCGTATTAATAGACTATTAAATAAAACGAGATAAGTAATAGGCTAAATAATAAGTAAGAAGAGACAAGAAAATATTTAAACTTATTAAGCAATTAAAAGCATTTAAGGTTTAAATAAACCTAGAATTATTAAAACTATATAAGTAATATAAAAGGCCTAGCTATTACACTTAAAACTTAAATAGGTAAATAAAAGGTAATTACGTAAACTCTTTCCATATTAATAATAATTTAAACCTAAGAAATAAGGCTTTAATATTACTAGCTTCCCCTCTTAAAAATAACGCGTAAAGAGACCTAAATTATTTTTAGTGTTTCTTCTATAAGAAGTAGGGATATATAAAATATAACTGTAAAAATAAGAATAAATACTCACCTAAAAAGTTTAAAGAGAGACGAGAACCCTAGAGACTATTAGGTAAGGTAATAAAATTATCTTAAAAACCTAAAGTTTATTTTAATAATTAAACTTAAAAGAGAATAAAGAAACGGGAGATTTAAGATAAAGGTATTAAGAGATAATTCTATTATTAGAAGAACGCTAGAGAAATAGGCTTAAATAAACGTAAGCTTATTTTAACCTTTATAATTAATACTACTATTATAGGAAATAATATTAAATAAGTTTAAGAGGTTAAGGCTAATAATATAATTACACTTAAAGAGACTAAATAAGGCTTTTTATAAGCTAGAGCTAAGTATATTACCTTAAATAAATTTATTATTATTTCTTA